AGGAGACATGCATTAACGATGGATAAACTTCGAAGAAAAGGTTTTTATGTAACTGAGTGGTATTATATGTGTAGGAGTGATGGGGAGACACATGACCACTTGTTCATTCAGTGTGATGGTGTTCGATGACTGTGGAACGGTATTTTGGTTTCTCAACATATGATTGGGTGTTATCTAGACGTATAGAGGACGTGTTGATGACACGGAGGAAAAAACTTTGTGATAAGGATGGCAAGTTTGTATGAAATCTTATTCCGGGGTGCATTGTATGGTGTGTGTGAAGAGAAAGGAACAACCGATGTTTTGAAGACCAAATACGGATCACAGAGCAGATTAGAGAATTATTTTATCTGACTCTGTATACTTGGTTTAATACCGTTGCTAGTAATCCTATAAAGGGGCTTCCTAACTTTATGTTTTTTCTTTCTTGTTTAAATTGATAACTCACTTCCTGTGTACTCTTTTTGTATTAATAAAATTATTTGATTACCTATCAAAAAAATAAAATAAACCTGCATGTGCAGCCTCTTTTAGTGGAACAAAAGGGAAAATTTCATATATTCGATTGGGTTGTCTGTTTGCTTTTAGTGCTTTCCTGTCTCTCTTCTGCTACCTTCTCTCTTATATTCACCCACTTGCTAACTAGCACGTCTCCTCAGTCTAAAAATCAGATATACATTTTCCGGCTTCTTCTGTTGCTATTAATATTGAATATAATTTCTACTTTCCGGTTTTCTTGTTAATTCAGTGATCTTATTTTTTTCTGCAGCTCGAGAAGCTTAGTGAAGTACAAACCCAACCCGAGTCACAAATGAAGTTCATTATCGAAGCCTGGCAACAGGTAAAACTTCATTTATGAATCTGTAAGACAATAATATTTCTACATTCAGAGAAAAAGAAAACTCTGTTTGAATGGTTGGCTTGCAATTTTACTTTTGAAAATCAAAATGATTTACATTGTTTGAAGCAACATCTGAAATTCCTTCCATGAAAAGAAAAATACTGCATCCATTAAATAATGGAAAATGTTGGAAGACATGGTCTCTGTGAATTTCTGAAATATGTTATCGCACTCTAGTGTCACAGAGCCAATTCCATAATAGGGAGCTGTTAACAGGGAGGGGAGGGAAACCCTTGACATTAGTGGACAGTAATTTCTTACCATATCTCTTCTCCCACTTCAATTTAGACTAATTTATCTTTGTGAGCATGAGAACTTCCTTTTCTTATCGGGTCCATCTTTCTGCTTTTCTACTGAAAATTAAGGAATTTTATTTATTATTTCTTTTCCAGTGCCAATTTTTCATCCAATTTTTCTTTCTTCAAAGGATAAATGAATTTTTGTTAAATAGTTATGTTTATTGAATTGATATTTATCCTTTTAGATTGATTTCTTGCTATAACATGTATGTATAGTCCCCAGATGAGGAAATATGTTATGCATTTGAGCCTGAAATTGCTCATTGGCATTCTTAAAACTATCTTAATTTTTTTTTTTTTTTTTATCGTTTACATAATAATGCATTAATTTAAAGAAGGGTAAATAGCACATAACGTCTCCACCTTTCACTGTTATTGTGAGAAACATCCTTACTTTTCATTTTTTTGGCATTTTTACCTTTATTTTCACATTTTATTGCGCAAAATGTCATTTTCATTCATTTTCTCAATTAAAAATTTGTGAAATGACGAATATACCCTTTTCCTTAAATAAAATCAAAAAGAAAAGGAAAAAAACTAATTGTAATTATAGTCCCAAATTTTTTTAAAAAGTGCAAATGAGTCCCTAAATAAATTATTAAAAGTTTAATTAGCACATAATGTCCTGACTTTCATATCACAATGGAAAACGTCCATACCTTTTTTTTTTTTTTTTTTTCATATTTTCACACTTAATTACACATTTGATTGCGCAAATCAGTATTTCTATTCAGTTTCATCTAATTTCTCAATAAAGAACTGTGAAATGATGAATATACTCTCCTATTTAAAAAAAAAATTGAAGAAAATTATTATTTTTAATTTCTATTTTTTAAATAATTTATTCGGGATTCGTTTGCACTTTTTAGTTTTTCAAATTTTTAAAATTTTTTTAATAAATTTAATTAGGACTCGTTTGCACATTTTTTTTAAAAAAAAATTAATTTCTAATTTTTTCATAATTTATTTGGGTTTGCCCGTTAAATTTTTTTTTTTTTTTTAACTTTTAACTTTTTAATAATTTATTTGGGACTTGTTTGCACTTTTTAAAAAAATTTGGAACTATAATTGTAATTAATTCTTTAGCTTTTTTATTTAAATATGAGAGTATATTCATCATTTCACATCTCTTTATTGAGAAATTGAATTAAAATAGATAGAAATGATGGTTTGCATAATCAAATATGTAATTAAGGGTGAAAATGTTAAAAAAAGAAAGAAAGATAGGAACGTTTTTCGCAATAATAGTGAAAGGTGGTGACATTATGTGCTAATTACCCTTTTAATAATTTATTTGAGATTCATTTGCACATTTTAAAAAAATTAGGATTGGTTGCAATTTTTTTTCTTTTTTTTCTTGTTTTATTTAAAGATAAGAGTATATTCGTTATTTCACAATTTTTCAATTGAGAAAATGGATGAGAAGGACTTTTTGCACAATGAAAGGTGGAAATAAGGGTGAAAATGCCAAAAAAAATGAAAGATAAGGACGTTTTTCACAATAGTAGTGAAAGGTGTGGACGTTATGTGCTAATTACTCATTTTAAGAACCTAACCAAGAGAATTTCCATTTTGTTAATCTCTGTCGCTTTTGGCGAAAAAGGTTATTTAAAAATTAAATCAGAATGTAATGGGTGACTATTTTTGTTTTTGTCAAGTGAATTTTTGTTATAGCATAGGATATGCCAATGGGATAATGGCCTCAACCATGATGTTAAGTAATTATCTGCAAACATCTTTACAGATAGTTGAATGTAGAAAGGTGTTGAAATGGACCTATGCTTATGGATACTACCTGCCTGAACACGAACACACTAAGAAGCAATTTTTTGAGTATTTGCAAGGTATCATGTTCTCTCTGGTTCAATTGAAAATTGCTTATATGCCTGTTGAGTTTTACCATATTCAGCATTTTAAAATGCAATATATTCTATCCTGTACTTGTAGGTGAGGCAGAGGCTGGTTTAGAAAGGCTCCATCAATGTGCAGAGAAGGAGCTACAGAACTACCTTAATGCCGAAGGTCCGTCAAAGGATTTCAATGATTTCCGTACAAAGCTTGCTGGCCTGACAAGGTAATTCTTCTTCTATACCTTTCATCAAACAGGTCTCGGTGCACCTAAGAATCATGGACATGACACAATATGGACATGCCGACACGTGATTTTTCAAAAAAGTAGGACACTAGACAATAATACATGGCATATCAGCCAGGAACGTCCTTAAAGTATCCAGTGTCGGAAATTTAACAATATATGTATAACTTAATAAGAAATAGGACATGGCAGCACGAGCTTGTCAAAACTGAAGTGTCTGAAGAGTGTTGGCTTCAGACACAACACGTGTCAAACACGGACATGCCGGCCCAGTAAGAGTGTCCGGTGCTTCACAACAGTCCACTCATACATCAGATCTATAGAAAGCTGAGTAAGATAGTACGGTTTTGTGACTCTTTACTTGGCATTTTTCTGAGATGAAGACTAGTATTTTTCTCAATAATAGTTCAGTGTATGTGTGATATTTGGGCATGCATCAAATGGTCCAAATGTGTTGATTCTTTCTTAATTGCAAAATCTGTGCAACTATCAGTTTCTTTGATGGTTGAGAGAATCTTGTGGCATGAGTGTTGGGAAATTTCTGCTGCTTCTATTTATTGTAGAGGATCATAGATACTGTAGATGTGGCTGTTTTCTGCTTCACATTGAAATATGAAGAAAGTGGTAAAGCAGTTTGAATTGAATAATCCAGAGAGCACCCTCCTAATTATCTTATATTAGAACAGATTTTCAATGCTTGAAACAAATTTATGAAACAAGCTTCAACCGTTCATTTTTCTTAGCGCATCAAAATTAGGATCCATCTTCTTGAGGACAATAGAAGCTAAAGCTTGCATGTGCCACATGAATTACTAATTTACTGTTCCTGTGGAGCTGCAGTAAAAGTTCTGATTTACTTATATTTCTGTCAAAGGCTGTATAAACAACTAAATATGTTTGAGACGCGTCAAACAATAAAAGTAATGTTAAATAGTTGCATTTTAAGAGATTCACTTGTAAATTATATGCCGATTGAAAAGCTAGAAGATTCAACATATTATGAGTATTTTTAATCCATTCTAATAAATTGATTTGTATCATAAGACAAGATAGAAAAGTCTCTTCGGCAAAAATTCTTTCAAGTTTGAGCAAGTCATATTTTGGGATATTAGTGTCGTTTACATTTCTCTTTAGTAAATTTTCATCCTTGGCAATTATTTTAGTTGATGTGATTAATGTTCTGGTTTATTGTAACTAATTGTGGTCGGGTATTTCTATTGCTAACGTTCCCTTAACTGACAGTGTGACTCGGAATTACTTTGAGAACTTGGTTAGAGCACTGGAGAATGGTCTTTCTGATGTTGATCCACGAGGATCATGTAGTAAGATGACAAGCTCAAAAAACGTAGCAGGGAGCAGCAAAGCGAAAGGTGGAAGGGCGAAGGGATCTTCCAGGACAGGAGCATTAAGCAGAAACACAGATGATTCGAGCAGTTGGGCATGCGATCAATGTACCTTCATGAATGCCCGATCTTCAACTAAGTGCCACATGTGCCATTACCATCGCTAAAACAGACCATAGCTGATCATTATGGTTCAATAAAAGTACCTTTCTGATCATGAAAACAGAAATCAAAAGAAAATCTACAGAACTTGTTATAGCTTGCCTTGTGTGGGAGGTGTAAAATCCTGAAAAAGGTTTAAGGCAGTCGACTTTAAAGTTTTACCTTTTTTTAATGGTTGAGGTGGGGGTGGTTCATGAATGTGGATTCCTGTACATAGTTTGTCTATGAGTCGAGCAAAGTCACTGTTTTAAATTTACATAGTTTGTCTATGAGTCGAACAAAGTCGCTGTTTTAAAGTCTGATGACTGACTCAATTTTAATGTCGCACATGCGTAGGATTAAATGCAAATTTACTTATTTTTCTTTTGTTTTGTTTGGATGGAACATGCTTCTACTCTGGAATTTGCTTGAGTTGTGTTGTAGTAACAAATTGGATCCAATTTGAAAAGAAAAAAAAAGTACCAGGAAAACTCAACTTCTATAATTCAAATTTTTTGTAACGAAGAAATAATACAAATGAACAATATTTTTATATTACATTTGATGCATAAGAATTAATTGTTAATACATGAATTTAAATACCATTAAAATTTTTAGATACATGAAGAGAAATAAATTTATCTATAATAACTCTAAATTCATGTAGATCAAGATTCATCAATTCATTCAGTTTTGATTAATGTGAATGTTAATTAATTGAGAATTAATAACACAAAATTCATATATGACAAGATTTTGTAGCATTTATTACATATTAAAAAAAGATAAGTAAGGTATTATTGAATCATCCAAAAAATGGTTCTCAGTTCTCACTATTATAGATAAAACATGGAAGGCATGTCATCGTTTAATGCTGGAATTGATCGAAGTGGTAAAAATAGGACCAAATACAACAAACACGGGGAATGCTTCGGCTTAATTATCTTATTTGTCAATTAATTTTCAAAAAAAAATAAAAAATCAATTGTAATTAGTGTTAAAAAGTTTTTCATGTTACCATTGAACTTGCAGAAATATTATCACATTTGTCATCATGTCACTCATAAAACGACTAGTGACGGATGAGATAATATTTTAGTAAGTTCAATGGTGGTGGTAGCCGTGTATTGGTTTTGGTGCTGATGACTTTGTGTTGATATGGATCTACGCATTGGTGATGCCGTTGTTAGATCTGGGAAAGATGGTGGTGCAATGTTGGGTTGTATACGTGGTGGTTGTGCGAATTTGTGGTGGGTGTGGTGTGGTATATGGGTCGTAGTAGTGGTGTTAATATGGATTTGACACGAATGTGGTGATGGTTATGGTGGGAGTAGGTGGATTGGAAGAGGTGGTGCTTGGTTGTGGTGCCCATGGTGGCAATGGTGGTTCAAGCGGTGGTGGTGCATTATAGGTGATGATGGTATGTTAGAGTTGATCTAATTAACTAAATGGTTTCTTAAGATTATTTAATAGAATAATTTGATCACAAATATTTAAAGATTGAAAAAATAAAAATAATAAGAATTTGCACGTACAAGCCCCTATAGCTCAGTGGTAGAGCGTCAGTCTTGTAAACTGAAGGTCCGTAGTTCGATCCTGCGTGGGGGCATTTTTTAATTTTTCGAATTTAATATTTTAAGGCAATAGCTATTTTCCCTCTAATTTGAGTTTTCTTTTCTTTTCTCCAAATTTCAGCATCCATAAAAAAGAAAGAAAAAGCATATTTCAAGATTTTCAACTCTTTTTCGAATGTGCTAACCTGTACATTTTGTCTTGTCCGATTTCTTTTTCTTACAGTAAATCTTCGTCTCTTTTTTAAAAAAAAAATACACAATTTTCTAACATGCGAAGTCATTGCAAAGAGTCTTAGAAAAATGTCAAAAATCGACAATTTCTACATTTTCATTCGTCAATCGAGATGCATCTGGCCTCGCAAATCTAGCAAGATATTTTTATCGTTAAAATTTGATCTCTTATTGTAATATTTATATCTTTTAAGTTTGAAAAAATCATAAACATGTTTCAAAATTTTCATGATACTAGATTTCATGACATTACTTAGATCATATACAAGGTACATTGACAAGAATCCACGCAACAACTCACACGTGCACTGATGCACCAACGCATCATTTTTATTTCTCGATGACTTAAGTGTATTGAACTTGTCTAACTTAAAGATGCATATAATCAGTAGGACCTTGTAGCATTTTTCAAGACACGCGACATTATTCCTCCAATATCTTGGTTTTCCCTCCAAATGTGGAAATTTTTTCAATCTTGTGCAAATGATCTAACTTCCAAAATAGAACATATACCATAGAACTCCTATAAGACAAGAATTAGTCTCCTCAAGACACATCAACTCGTGATAATTTGCTTGCACAATAATTATAACAATCTTCATTTTCACAATCCCTAATAACAATACTTTCTCTACGATTGACCATTTTTCTTAAAACTATACCCACTCTGCGTAAAAGGTACGAAACATTTTTCATTATTCAAAAGATTCTTGAGGCCTTGGTCATAATGTCACCAAATGCAATTGTTTCTTCGAACCTTGATAATATTTTTTATTTTAGTCGTACTAATACCCATTTCAATTTTACTTGTAAAAATATTGAAAAATAATGTTTATGATATTTTTAGATAACAAATTAGCCCTTGTTTGACATCCTTAAAATTTAAAAACATAGTTTTAAATAGAATTTTTTTGGAGAATATCAATATGTAATTAAAAAGTTAGGAACAATTTTGAATTTAAGTATAAAATATTTTATTACGTAAACGTGTGGTTGAAAATGAGTATGAAAATTAAATTTAATTAAAGTAAAGTATGTCAAACATGAGCTAAGATTAATTTTAAAATTATATTTTAATAATTATCCCAGGAATGATAGCAATGAGATTGAAAATATTAATAATTTTAATAAATTGATCTAAAAAATAAAAATTATAATTTGAAATATTCCCTTATTCAAATGCATGTTTGTTGAAGATTATAATTGTTTATAAGCTTTTGATTCAAAAGAAATTGTATTTAAAAAGTATGTAAAAATATATTCATGGAATTATGGAATTATAAGAAATTATAAAAAAAATTCTTATTTCCAAATTTTAAAAGTATCAATTTTTAATATAAATAAAATAAAGAACAAAAAATTCACTTTCAAGACGATTCTGGAGAGAGAGCGCTCTTTCCCTTGTTCAATTCTAGAAATTCTTCAATTCTTTGACCTGGTCAGGTGATATCTCATCTAAATCTGGAAGAATCCTGCAGTGATTTGAACTTCCGTCTTTGATTTTAAATTTCCAATACTCAGTAACTCCCACGATTCTCAGCAATCTATGGCTAACTGTTTGATTTCTGACCCAATTTCAAGTTTAATTTTTAAAGAGAAATAGATATATCAGGTTTGAATGTGCTGAATCCAGTGAAATCTAAAGGGGGTTTGTGTTAATTTTTTTCGTATTTATGATTCGCTCGCATTAAATTGAATTGTTGGGGCCTCGACCTCTTTGTTTTGAGCGAATTTATCTGTTTTGTGAAAATTATAGCTTATAATTCAGTTTCCAAGTGTGTGTAGATGGGGAAACCATTATTTTACGAGATATGGGAAAAGCCAGCTACAAGCTGTATAATAGGTTTATGCAGTGTAATTTGGTTCTGTATTCAGAAGAAGAACATCGGTTATTCCCATGTCGGCTTGAGTTATGAGACTGCAATTCAAGGTCACTATTGGAGGATAATAACCTCAGCATTTTCGCATATTAGTGTTGTTCATCTTGTTTTCAATATGAGTGCACTTTGGAGCCTTGGGATTATTGAGCAGTTAGGGCATATAGGCCTTGGAGTAGAGTTTTATCTCCATTATACACTAGTGATGGTTGTTTTTTCAGGGATGCTTGTTATTGGTATGTACCATCTTTTGACACAGAGGTTCAAACTAGACTATTTTCGAAGAGTCACTGCTGTTGGCTACTCTTGTGTTGTTTTTGGGTGGATGACGATCTTATCGGTGAAGCAACCCTCGTTCAAGTTGAATCTTTTTGGGTTTCTGTCCCTTCCTATCAGTTTTGCGCCATTTGAGTCCCTTATCTTCACGTCGATAATTGTTCCTCAAGCAAGTTTTCTTGGTCATTTGTCTGGAATTATTGTTGGCTATGCTATTGCCTGGGGTTTGATTCATGGGATGAGCAATTACTGGGCAATATCTATGTTGGGTTGGATTGTGGTTGTCTTTATATTTAGTTTGAAGAAGTCGGGTACATATAATTTCAGCTTTATCGAGATTGAACATGTAAATGATCCTTCCTTGCGTTTTGTGGCTTCAGGAAATGGCAGAACCTTGCAGATGGGTATGCTACCGGGTGTTGGTGCTGACCTTGTGTAGTTTCTGGGGAAGTTTCACGTTATATTGTAATGTTATACTTAAATCTCTTATATATTGTCAAGTCAGACGGCTAAATACTGTTCTAAGGCAGGGCTTGTTTGAAGCTGTTTAATCTTCTTCTCAGACTATTTAATGCATGTCAACTCTCGTAAATGCTTCATGGAATGTAAGAGTTACTGATAACCATCGTTTTTCATGCTTCTTAGAATATATTGAGAAGCTCCACATTATATTGAATCTTGGTCATGCTGATCTTGTACCAAAAATTTTTTTTTTTTTTTGGATGACTACAAAAAATGGATTTTCTAAGAAATTTGTTGATAAGTTGAGTAGAGGGTGAGATATATTGATTTGATGTTTTTTCTTCTCTTCTACTGGACTGAAAAAAGTTTATTACCTGTGAAATACTTCTCCTGTACGGAAAACAAGTTTTATGGGAACGAAGAAGGATACTAGAACTTGCATTTAGTATTTTCAATTTCTAGCATTTGCCTTGATAAATTGTGGACCAAGACAAGGAGTGTCAGTAGTTTCCTTAATATAATTGTTCAATTTTCAATTTCCACTTCCATTCTTGTTTGAATCCAAGCAAGACGAGAATGTAGAAATGTTAGTAAATGCAGTTCCAAAGCTATTTTTTTGATGATTGTTATTGTATAGTGTCATTTTAACTTTGATAGTGAAGTCATATCTTCTATTTCTATTGATAATAATTTTTATTTGGTCCATTATATTCCTATAGTAGCTGGTCCCAAGTGCGAATAGAGGAAGAAGGTTATTTTGGGTTGATAGCTAGTGCACTTTAGGTGTAGCAGGGCATGGCTTGGGTAGGGTGTACCCTGTAACCGATGCATCGCATCCATGTTTGGATGTGTCCGAATGTAAATGATAGTTCTCAAAAGATAGGAACTTGAATTAATGAATATTTATAAGAAAATCCTTTAGAACTAGTAGATGTCATCGGTACAAAGAAAGTGAACAAAGCTTTTTGAAAAGTCAAAAGTTTGATTTTATGATTAAGAAGTTACTTTTGAACATGTTTGAATAATTTCTAGAAGTGTTTCATCTTATTAGAAGAGCTTTTAAAGGAAACTGACCTAAGATAGCTTTTTCAAGATGCTCTTCTACAAGAAGTAGAAGTTCTGCCAAATGACCACATAATAAGTTGGAGAGAAGGCAAAATAACTTGGAACTGCTAGGTATAAACTTTGATTATGAGTAATGAAAAAAGTATAAACAAAGTACGTAATTCACGTATGCAAGGCGTAATAAAATAACAAGGGCAGAATAGGGAAATGAATGGGGGCAGATGGCAGCATATGCAAGTAACACAGGCAGCTGGAGAATTAATTAGAGAACCATCATAAATAGACCGGAAAAGAGAGAGGAAAGCAGGCAAAATTTGGGTAGTGTCTTGGGAGTGTATTGGACCTCTCAAATGTCCATTCATCTTTAATTCCATTGTTGCTAAACCACAGAGCTATATTATTTTACAATCTGTTGTTGATAGCAGAGTCTCAATCCAATCTTCTATAAGAATTACATAAATATAGATTACAATTTCCATCTTGAGCTATCTTGTTCCGTCTTCATCTTCTTCACTGCTTTTAATCTGGTTGGGTGATTTATAATTGCATAGGTTTCTTTCATCTATCAATGTTATTTAGTATCCATGTCACACAAATATGGTTAGACCATGCAACGAAGCAATTGTTTTGAGAAGACATGAATGTGTTAAATTCAAGCAGTTTCTATTCAGGATACGATCTTCATTGAAAGAGATTTGAATGGTCGCACAGGGAATGGTAACTAAACATGTAAATTAGGGATCATAGTGAAGAAAGTAACAAATTTTGAACTTCCAGATGGCTTTTGATGAGGTTTAGTGCCTTGAGAATTTAGATTCCATCTAACTTTAAGAAGTGGGCATAAATTTAATCAGAGAGAGTTAATCCTTACTCGCAGGTCAATGAGTATTCATGTTGTGGATATTCAAGTTACTGCTTACTCGGTTTATATTGCAGTTCATGAAATAGCTTCCAGTAAAGCTTGTAAAACAAATATTATGCTTAACACCTCATTTTTTAGCATGAACTTTTGAGTTTCAAGGAAAGAAGCGATATTTTTAGATTAAAATTACAGTTCAAGGATATTGTCGTTCCTTGTCGACCCATGAAATATTATGAGAAGCAAGGATCCTTGCCTTCCAGCTGACACACTGGTCTGCACTGAGCATTTTGAATTTGTCTGTCTTGTTTGATTGCTTGCAGTAATAAATTAAGTCATTCTCTTCAATCCTTTTGTGCATTTCAGCTTCCTCTCATTTTTCTCTATATTCTGTTGTACATACTGTACTCTACTGCACCAACCATCTACTTTGTCATTACATTGTCTTGAGTCGACTTTCATTTTTACGTTTTTGTACATTTGTCTGTATTGGACTGGAGATGAGTCGACGTGATTAAGGATGGGAGATCTTTGTAGTCGTGCTGTCTAGTCGTACAGTCATTGTCATGTGTTTGACCATTTTGTGTTGGAAGTTAAGCTAGATTGAGATTGTTGTAGACACAAAGTTTCTATTCTGTTGTTGAAATGGACATTTCTAGTAAAAGAACAGGAGAGAAAATCATCCTTTGATCCTGTTTGGATTTTAATATAAAAAGCTAATTTTTAGCTATGGGCTGTGCACGTTTTTATTTTTCTTTGGGAAAAATTCATATCTAAGAGTTTAATTATGACTTATTTAAAAACTAACAAATAAGGTTTAAAACTTTAAAAATGAGATATTATTAAATTTTATTTATGAAATTATTAATTAAATATATTAAAATCACAAAATATATATAATTTGGTCACAAATTATCAAATTAATTGGTTACAAATTGTTTTTCAATCACAAATAAAAGTTTTTATAAGTCACAAATTATTTTTCGACCACAATTCAAAAAAATTATATGTCATAATTAATTCATTGATCACAAAATCAAAACTTTTATCGGTCATAACTCATTTATCGATCATAAATTATAAATTTTATCGGTCACAAGTTATTAAATTAATTGATCACAATTATAAATTTAGTTGCAATCACATTTTTCAAGGTCGCATATTATTTACCGATTACGAATTAACAATTTATTGAACACGACACTCAAATAATTGGTATCAAACACCCACCCCACTCAATTACAACATCGTCGACCACCAAGTCTACCACCTCACCTCTACCAACATCTCTACCACTGACAAGAACCACCAAAATCCCCAACACCACCAAAACACTAAAACGATCACAACCACCACCAGCATCACCACTACTCCCACCACCCTTTGCAAAACCATATACATCCACATCCAACAAATCAGAAACTCGCCTCTGCTCACTCAAATATCGTTGGACCACTACCTTATACCTTTAACGCAAATTGCTGTCTGCCACCCCATTTCACCGCCAATATTCTTCACCTCACTGGTAGCCACTCCTTCAGAGATCTTTCCACGTTCGTCCTCATCAACAATCCCATGGCCCGAACCAGTCAACAATCTCACAGATATGTCACACCACTGAAGCATCATATTTTACTGTGATTCAATACCACGACGATTGTTAAGTACCACGACGGCCTGTAAGATACTACACAGACGCCGTTCAATACCACGGCAACTACGCGTCGCATCTGCTTCGCGTGGTAGCAATCATCGTCACTCCGTGCAACGCTCCTATGCATGCTGTGAGCAATGGTCCTGTGTTGGCATCATCACTTCTACGTGCGACTGTGAACGATGCTCCTGCGCAAGATAGTATTGTCGGTGCAGAGTGGCAGCATTGGAGTTCCGAGAAAGGGTGCCGGAAACAACCAGTGTGAATTAGGGCTCATGAGAAGATAATGGAGAGAATTAGAGGAAGAAAGTGGATATTTATTTAATAAATGATAAATAATTAATTATAACTTGAATTATGAAAGATAAAACTTGAAATCTTATGAAATGCATCCCTGAAAAACAGCTCAAGCTGTAATTTCCACATCTTCTTTTTTGGTTAGAATAATTTACGAGGAAATTACACCCAACCCTATTTTTTAATTTTTATTTTCAAAAATCAGATCTTAAGTTTGTTTATACAAAAATCAGATAAAAATTTAATATTAATAATACTTTTATAAAATTAAATTTATTTATAAGTAACCTTAATTTCATTCTCTCTACCACTCCACCCACACACCCCCGATTTTGAAATTCCTAAATCACCCGTTTTCTCTAAATCACTCACTCATTGTCTCTGTTCTCTCTCAATAAGTCTTGTTGCACCCACCCAACTTTAGCCACAATCAATGGTGGTTGGTGGTAGAAGGGATGGCGGATGTTGCTGAAATCTTCTTCTGCCACTACGGTGGTGGAGACAAGAAATCGATTATAGTGCAATGTTTATCTGGTGGTGTGTTGCAGATCTGTGTAGGAGTGGTGGTCTAATGCTAGTGGTACGATAGTGCTGGTGCAGGTGGCGCGATGTGTGTGGTCGTGAATCTACGTGGTAGTGATGGTGGTGATGTAGTGTTGTGGTGTAGGTGGTTGTGGTGGTGACACTGCATTTCTGGTTGTGCGATGGTGGTGAGGTGTGGTGTGTTGGATGTGGAGGTAGAGGCGGTGGTGGTGTGCTGAATGTGGAGGTGGAGGTGGAGGTGGTGGTTGTTGGTGAGGCGATGTTCAAGTGGCGATAAGGTGGCAATGCCGTTGGGGTGGTTTTGGTGGTGGTGGATTGGTGTTGGTAGCGGTGGTGCCTAGTTGGTGTTGGTTGCAGTGATGCCGATCTTGTGATGGATGGTTGGTCGCGGTGATGGCGGCGGCATCGACGATGGTGTTGTGTCGGTGGTGGTCACAAATGATTTGTTAATTGTAACCAATAAATTGATGGTGTGTGACCAATAAAGAATAAATTGTGACCAATAAATACTGTGTGACATACCAATAAAAGTAATCTGTGACCTATAAATTGACTATTCGTGCCCATAAAATAAGTTGTGTGACTTATAAATTTAGTGATTTGTGATCGATGATCTA